CGTACGCACAACTTAAGAACAAATCTGTGCGTACGAACGGTTCTTGCATGAGGCCCAATGGCTCTCTGCACAGACAATTCAGAACAGACAATACACAGCAATCTCAGGTCTCATCAGCCAACAAGCAGGCCTGCTATGACTGCCCTTCACCACCATGCCTGCTTGTGCTAGTGTTAGCAACACGTGTACATGAACATGAACATGTGGAGAACATTATGTTTGTCGAGGAGTCCAGATTCAGTCTACAGCAGTTGGATCATAGGCTACGTTCACACTGCAGGTCTTAATGCTCTTTTTAAAAATCTGATCTTTTGGTGTGAACGTTCACATTACACACATTACATTTTAAATGCAACCTCCATCAGACTCCTGTGTGAATGCTACACAGCACTGATGTGACCCGCATGCTGGGGCTAGCCTAAAATCAATATCGCGATATACTGACCAGTTCACCTTGATAACGATAAATGCACGATAACTCTTACCACCCCCCCACACACAAGTACATGATATAGTATAGTCATAACACTATACACTGTGTCCATGTTCTTAGTCAAAGTACACAGTTTAGATTTTGAACAGCTTTTCTGTACTTTATATTTGTCATTTTAGTGTTATTAATATATTTTATAAAAAAACATTTTTGGCAAGATTTGAGTCAGATCTAGTCATGCAAATATTTTACCATCTCCATAACATTTCAAGGCAAACAAACACATTACGTATTGGAATTTTATATTTTAAAAAATATATACCAAATGTATTTTGTACTGCACAAAATAACTTAAATACATTTTTTGTTAGACTTACTGATTTCTCCATTAAAATAACTAAAGATTATATTATTTAGAGAGCTCATGTAATCATTTAATACTTTTTATTCTTCATATTTGATCATTTATTGAATCACAGAGCAGTTCAGTCACAGTATGGTTCTAAATACTGTATAAGCAAGCTATATTGTGAAGAATGAAATTTATAGATACAGTATTTAGTATAGTATATATACTATACTATATATATATAGTGCTCCAAAATTATTTGACCCCGTGGTTGTCTCACTGGGCAGGTTTCCAGCCCTCGTGGCTCGCATGTCACAGTGAGTACTAATGGAAGGAGGTAAAATAAAAGTATCCTTTTTGTTCGACCACCAATTTTCTGTTTCTCTGTCAGGAGTTAAGTAAGGATTTTATATTTTTATTTTTTTGTAGGTAAGTAGATGGTTAAGTAAATCATTTTGTTTTAAATACTTTGAATTAAATGCAGAAGATAACATATAGTATATAGTAACATATTATGTACTGTTTTATTTACTTTAAAGAAGTGAGGAGTAGGGAGATGAATATAACGTTTTTGTGATACTGAGACTGGACAAGTAGACGTCAGCAAACTGCCTACTTCAAAAGTAGATCATGGTTCAAAAAAGGTTGGGCACCCCTGGACACCATTCTGGTAGGTGGAAAAACCTATCTGACTCACAGCATACAAGAATCTGGGACTGGGCAGTCGCTGCTGTTCCAGTAATTGCAGGCCCTAGAGACAGAATGGTCAAAAATACAAGTTTGAACCAAGTTTTAAGACAGAGATTAAAGATAGGTCAGCCTGGAGCAATTTCTCTATGGTGGAGCTAGACGGATCCCATATGAAGGCATCAGCAGGCGCAGGGGTGCTGGTTCTGCACAACCACAGTGAGAGAGTACAGTTACCCATTAGGTGGTTTTGTCAAGGTATCTCAAGCTGAGATATGCAATCCACCAGTGTGTGGCATCTTTCAAAGAACGTCAGTGTACACAGAAGGAAATATTCATCYTAACAGATAGCCAAGCTGCTATTAGAGCTCTCCAAGGGCCACACTTTACGTCACTACTGGCTTGGGAGTGTGCCGAAGCAGTCAACCAACTGAGGAGAGTTAACAGTGTTACTGTTAAATGGGTACCAGGACTAGGACTGCCCTACAGACATGGATCAGACGTGAACACTCAATCCGTTGGAGATTGTATGCAGGCACGAGAACTGATAAATGGCCCAAATCCTAGGTTCGAAAAAGCCCTTCTTGCCCTGACAAGGAAAACTTTAAGAACGCTGGTTGGAGTCCTAACTGGGCACAGCATGCTCAATTGCCATAAAATGTTGGTGGGACTCCATGACAATGGTCTGTGTAATGCCTGTGAATTAGAGACCTATTTGCACTATTTAGGCCAATGCTTGGTCATGAGTAGTCAAAGGAAAATAATTCTTGGAGAACCTTTTATGGATCCTGAGAAGTTAGAACACAGTGTTTCTAACCTGGTGTCCTKCTCGCAAGGGATGAAAAGTTTGATTAAAAGCTCAGTGTCTGTTTGGGGAGAGTAATGAGCCCACTTTTGAGGACCTCATTCACCTGGGTTTTTATCCATCCCCATTTATCAATYTAAGGAGTGCCCACCACTCTGTCAACAGAAACAAGCGCCCTGACAATGAAAATGGACCCCCCTACCACTGGCGCAGAAAGTTTTGCTACATCCAGTTGGGGAGCAGAAATTGTAGCCACATAAGTGGCTATAATGCAGCATTAGCATTAGACTGCCGCTACATGCCTCTTGTCACTAATCACTTGGCAACAATGCACCACTTTCTCAACAAACCCCCAAGTGCCCTGGAAAGACTAATACTGTAGGGGAAACACCACAAATGACAGTGAGTTGTAAATGGTAATACAAAGTTCTGCTGGATGTTGATTTGCTGTCACAGTATGACCAATTTAAAAGTAGCTTTAACTCTTGAGTTTCTGTTAGTGGTCTCTGTTTTAAATTTTAAATTCCATTTGCGCCATATCACAGCAAGCTGCAGCTCTGCCAGACCTTTCCAGATAACAACCAAAATTTTATCTTTGTGACAAGCCTGACATGCCCTGAACATTTCATGAAAATCAGAACATAAATTATTGAGCAATCTTGTGCGCAGACAGATGGATGGATGGGTAGATGGATGAAAAGACAAACAAGGAAAGAAAACAACCCTTCTGAAAATATAACCTCCATAGCATAGGTAATAATTTAGAACTGAAAGTAACTGAAATCTTACGGACTACTTTTCCTTGCTCTTCCTGGTTGGCCTCAGCTTCACAGCAGCAGCGGAAAGGTAACAGGTCTTCTTTCAGAAGCTGGGACAGAGCTGCTTGGCAGAGGAGGGCACTGAGGCCTGAAGGAGCATCCCTGAATTAAAAAAGACAGACAAATTAATATGGACTGTTTTTCTGAGTACTTAAGCATCACTGGTAATCTGCATCCAGGAAGAGGAGGACTTGGCTTTGGAGAAAGCAAACTGTGGTAGAGGGCAATTCTTTCTCAGCTCAGATTTATGACTGATGAAGGGGTGTGTCACCCAGTAACGTGTCTGTCACTACCTCACTCCAAGTTTTTTTTTACTCGCTCAGAGTTTAAGAAGTGCAACAAATGGGGGTGTCTCTTCTCTGCCCCCCCCCACCCACTGTTTTTCTTCATCAGTAATGTTATGGGGCATCAGTTTTCATTGCAGCCTTGTGGAAATTTGGCACTTCATCTCACCTGATCATCATAATAGTAACATTATGTCACCATATTTTCATACTAAAAAAAAAAATTACAGATCGGAGGATGCCGACTCCTTGGTTTAATTCAGAGTTACGTTATTACAGGCATCTAAAAAACTGGAGAGAAAATGGCGCTCCACTAACATAGAAGAATTTTATTTAACCTGGAGAAACAGCCTGCTAATATATAATAAAGTCCTTCGTAAAGCTAAAACTGTCTATTATTCATCTTTTTTTTAAATATAATATTTTTTTTGGTTTTGTTTTTGAACATGATATACTTTGTTTTTGAACATGATACACACTGAAAAGGTATTACAATATTTATGAAAGCTAGTACGTACGTACGTACGTACGTACGCACGCACGCACGCACGCACGCACACACACACATACATACATACATACATACATACATACATACATACATACATACATACAATGATCAAACAAAACATGACCATCTTTGTTAATTGTTTCATTTTCTCTTAAAAATAAAAATAAAAAAAGAACATATGTGAAAAAGAACAAAGAACATACGAACAAGGGGAAATATTTTTACTTCGGGGCTTCTCCCCTGTTGATCTTCGTCCAGTCTATAAAACAATAGCTATTAGCATTTAGACAAAATCAGATCTTATTGCTTTGATATATTGACACCACCTACACCAGTATTCAAAAAACCTATCCTTTTGCAATCTCAAAGACATTGTAAGTCTCCACATTACATATATTTGATATATAGTATTGTGCCAATCTTCAATCCCTGGCATTTCTGCCTGGAGCCATTTCCTTGTCAAAGTTTTCTTAGCTGATAATAGAAGGATTTTAATTAGATATCTGTCAGCTGTTGTAGTAATGTCTTTAGTTTCCAATCCTAAATATATATGTGGGAAATCAAAAGGTATGTTTGCCTGAAAAATATTTTGTAAACATCTATGAATTTCTTGCCAGAAGGGTAAAATGTTTGGACAGGCCCAAAATATGTGGTAATGGTTCGCTTTTGTATCGCCACATAGTCTCCAGCAGTCTGTTCTTATACGTTGATGAGCTTTTTGTGCTGGGTTGATAAAAACCTCATTACATTTTTCCATCCAAATTCTCTCCAGCTCGCTGAGTAAGTTGTTTTCCATTGCATTTTACACAAGAATTCCCAATCAATATTGTCTATTTCTATACCCATTTCTTTTCCCCATCTCTTTTTGACACCCAGTGTGTCAAGAGATTTGTTTTCCTGAAGTCCTTTGTATAATTGTGTTACGACTTTTTAAAACTGAGCCACGGTTATAAGCCAATTTAAATATATTTATTATTGCATTATTACTTGTCCCTGAGATGGCTTTCTGGTTTTCCTTATATCTGTTTCTCATTTGTAAGTATCGAAAGAAATCACAATTATTTAGACTATATTTCCCTTTAAGAGTTTCAAAATCTGCCTGCTGCCCTTTATTTAAAATATGAGGTGAGGCCATTTTCTGTCCATTCTTTAAATCTCTTGTCAYGGTGTTTAGGTAAGAATTCACTGTCAAATGCACACCATCGTAACATCATTTCTGCTTTGGTTAGATTATTTTCTTTACAGACTTTATTCCAAATGTTAAGAGTTAGTCCTATCCAAGGATTATTATCATCAATCAGTTCAATTTGTAGTTGTCTATCTGCTATTTTAGCCTGTATTGGGGTGTTTCTAGTCAAATGCTCCTCTATGTCTTTCCATCTGGCTGTAAAATTAGAATCTCATAAACACACCAGAGGCCTTAATTGAGCTGAATAATAATAATCTCTTAAGCATGGTATGGATAAACCACCCCAATCTTTTGAAAGTTGCAATATACTGTATTTTATTCTTGGTTTTTGATCCTGCCATATATAGCGGGAGATCATTTTATCCCATTCTAAAAATTGATGTTTTGTAACCTCTGTAGGAGTTTTAGTCTTACATCCTTCTCATAACTTAGTTATGAGGAACTGAGTTCTTTAATATAGATAATACCTTTTCTGTGTAATTATCAGGAATTAAACCAATGAGTAACGTAGTCAGTAAAGTTTTATCTAAAATAAATTATGTTTATTTACAAAACAATTACTCATATACAAGACTCATTGAGGGATGATCAGATGTTTACAAAAGTTGAAATCAATAACATTTAACTCGCGAACATGTTAAATCTCGTTATTTTGACAACTTTATCAGGAACAACAACGTTTGGCTTTAGATGTTAAATAAATCACTGTTGAGGCACTTATTCTTAAAGATTTTGACAGGATATGGGAAATAATTAAGAATTTAGGAAGGAAAAGGTTTTGTTAAGGAGGGTAACTAGATTTTCTCTTATCAAAAGGTGAGGAGCCAACTATTTTTACAAAAGGATAACTTTATTAATGTGAGATTCTATGATTTACATATAAATGTTATTTTTCTTGGTAAATACCTTTTTGAATACTTTGCAAAAATAATTTCATGTTCTACTGATCCACAGCTATTTGT